CTAGGGCTAAAACAAATTTCTTTATGACACCAGTAGAAAGATAAATAAGCTAAAATTGTTCAAAGTGTTATGTTTGGTGAGCTACCAAAAACCAGATCAGAAAAACCGGAACAAGTTTATCTGACCTGCCAACCTGACAGGCGTGTTGTGGTCATGGCTGCGGAATGTGGCCTATTTATTTTTGGTCACTGCTGCTGCTGTAAAGGCTAAAGGCAAAGATCATCACAGGGATTCCGGGTTACATGATATCCACTATTCTGTGTCCTTCTGGTGCTGAAAGGTGAACATGCACATACATGAGAGGCCACACAGTCGTTCTTCACACAGCCAATGTGGTTCCGTTTCTAAAGAGAGTCTTCCTGTTCATCTGGGGAACTTGATTCAGCGGAAAAGACATTTTGAGATACCAAAAACCTTGCTAACAGTGTAATGGTACCTGTGCTGACAACCCAGTTGGGTGGAGAAGCACCTAAAGGGTCCCAAGAGAGCTCAGTCAGTCATGTTGGCTGCTTCCAAAACCAACAACCACGATGGAGAGAAGAAAAAAAACATGGAACATTGCATTTATCTTGCCACCTTTGCCTGTTGACTGTCCAGGGTAAACAGGTAAAACTGGTGTCACAAGGTCAATGTGCACCTTCATTTTAGCTTCCACAATCCCAAAGCCCGGCCAAACTGCTTAGGGAACCAACCTCCCCCCTAAAGTCTGGTTACAGAGGATGCAGCTGGAACTAAAGTAGGGTCCAATTATACAAGAATCAACCACACACAGGAAGGATGGCAAGGCACACTAGGGTATTCCAGGAAGTACAGTTCTCTCCATCACCTACTGTCAACTCAAGAATAAAGACATCCAAGAGCTCTGGTCAACAGGTGAAAAATTATTTCTTCATGTTTAATGAAGACTCATTATAGAGTCAGTAGTTGAATTAATTAAGTACACGACAGACAGAGCAGCAGAGATCTCAGATGTGAAGGCTGTCACCTCACTAGAAGGCTGGAAAGAACTCAAGCACAAGGATCTCGAGATCTTAGCAGAGCTACACTGAGAAGCACTGGAAAGTGCACGCTATTTCACAGATAATAAAACAGCCAAACTTTGAGGATCTTCAATGAACTGAACTAGCCCACAAAAAAAAAAAAAGAATGCAGCATTCCTAGTCTCATCCATGCTATGCCTGGTTGCCTCAGCACACCAAGATCTTTGCCACTAGAAGCAGGAATGACAGCTGGAAAACTGCTGAATGTCTGGAAGAATGTGAGCTGGCAGGGTGAGGGACGTGCTCCCTGTGAGTGGTTTCTGTGTGGACAGTCACATTTCCTTAGCAGCTCTTTCCAAACAGTTCTGTGGTTAGAGAGGCCCAAATAGATGAGTCAACTCAGAATCATTTGCACACAACACAAACCACGGTCCCTTTAAGCAGGATGAAAATTATCAGGAAAGACCCACAGTAAAATATTGGAGTTTTCCCCCAGTATCTGACCTTACCCAACTCAAATTCACTGAGCTGCACACACAGTCTTGTTTCAAAAAGCATTATGCAAAAGACAGATTTAATAGCAAGCAACTTTGCAATTGCACATTTTAATTCTTATTTAAAGAAAGTGATTCTCAAGGGAAATGTTAACATTAAAACATAATGGCTTGAGATCAGAGGTTTAATGTAGAATTTGGTACCTCTTTTTGCTGAGCAGAATATTGCATTTTACATATTTATGTAACTAAATAGCTTTATTTTAAACGAGATTCTTAACTTCCATGTTGTTAAAACAGTGATGACATCTCTCATTTACTTGATGATACTTTTTATTTAGATTTGTCAGGTTGCATGGTTGCAGATTCAAGTAAATTCAAGTAAACACAGGCAAAAGTTGTATTTTAAAATAAGTGTCATTCAATTAAAACATTAAATTTTGTTTTAAACACGAACCAGTTTTGACTATTCATTTATGTCCCGTGAATAGAAGCAAGAGCTTCTAACTAACCGATCTAGATTACATTGTAACAACTAAATCTCATCTGCTGAATTTCTACTTGAAGAATAAATCATTTTTTTTCTGTTTTCTGAAGTCCCAGTAATCCAAATTCAACTGAACTAGAAAATATTCCTCTTCTGTGTCTAGAAGCAGCCAATCTTGAGAGAAAAATGGTTAGAAGATCGAGTTGCACTGCCACTGGAAATGTTTAGCTGGTAACTTCCTCTCAGTTTAAGACTTTTTACTTCTGTTTATTCTATTTTTAAAGATGATCTGCAAACTACCCAAACTTTAAATACAAGCATAGGATTTAGTGTATTATTAATAACAAGCTTTAAAAATATGAAGTTTATTTAAGAAACAACACATTCAAGTAAAAACCTAATTTTCAGAAGAGTGAGTCTTCCTCCACCTAGTAACTGGTAACTTGGCTGCTTTCTATGCAGCCCAGAAAAACAGTAAAATCGTAGCATTCTTGAACTCCAATGCCACTGGATTATTTCTGTTTCTTATTAAACCTTCAATTGGATAAGAAAATCTGGACATTTCAGTCATGTGATTATTAGAGAATACTGATTACAAAACCTTTTTAACAGCTAAGGGAAACAGTTCAGAGTAATAACATGATCCCATGTATCCAGTAGTCTTGCTTCTGTCCTTTACTACTGTCAGAGACTGAAATGGTTAATGATTTATGCATTCTAAGAGACTTTTTGCAGGCTTTTGACCTGCATGATACCTCTGATGAGCAGTCGGGCCCCTCCCTCCCTCCAGTGCTGAAGGTGTGAAGTACTGAGCTGAGCTTGCAGGCTTTTGACTATTGATACATCTGATGAGCAATCAGGTCCCTCCCTCTGCTAATCTTGAAAGGGGAGAACCAGGCGAGACACAAAAGACTCAGCACAGACCTAGAAGATGCCTCAGGTGGACTAAGCCCTAAAAAGGCAAGAAGTTGCCTCAGAGGGGCTAAGCCCTAAAAGGCAAGCAACTCTTCATGCCAGGGAGGTGCAAAAGCATGCCGAGGGTATATAAACTCACTGGTGACTTTGAGAATTTGGGTTCTCCTTCTCCCCCACTGCCTGCGAATCAAGACCATCGCTCTCAAGCATCACTGGAAACCATCGCTCTCAAGCATCGCTGGATCCAGTGAGCGGTGACTGTGTCCATTTCTTTTATATATATACTCTCAGCTTCTCTCTTCCCTTACTCTCATCCTGGTTTTTCTCTCCCCTAAACAGTTTCTCCCCCCCCNGCAAGCAACTCTTCATGCCAGGGAGGTGCAAAAGCATGCTGAGGGTATATAAACTGACTGGTGACTTTGAGAATTTGGGTTCTCCTTCTCCCCCACCGCCTGCGAATCAAGACCATCGCTCTCAAGCATCACTGGAAACCATCGCTCTCAAGCATCGCTGGATCCAGTGGGCGGTGACTGTGTCCATTTCTTTTATGCTCTCAGCTTCTCTCTTCCCTTACTCTCATCCTGGTTTTTCTCTCCCCTAAACAGTTTCTCCCCACCCCGGAAAGTTATCCTAGTGCTGCATTGTTCTATGACAACACCCAAACTGTTAGCATGCTTGTTGATACAAGATTGTTAAAATAAACTTTGTTTTCAGACACTGATTATTTAGTGTCGTTTCACTTTAATCCACCCCAAGGGAATTATTGATAAAAACCTGAGTTACCCCCCTTCCCCTTTTCCTGGGGCGGGTCGTAACAACTATAATCCAAGATTAAATGGGGTTTGTTGGTTTATTTTTTCCCTAACATTCGGATATTTTTTAAAAAAACCCTATAAATTTAAAGTAAGTTTCTATGCTAAATCAAATCCTTGCACAACATCAGGTTGGACTTGATGACCTTGGAGGTCTTTTGCAGCCTTAATGATTCTATGATCACACAATACCAATCTCAGAAGAATTACAAATAAAATGACAAGCCAGAAATATCAGGTCTCATGGAATTGGATGCTTTACTCAGACATACATTGTCTGAAGGCAAGAAACACATGAGCTGCTTCTCTTGAAGATTTCAAACCTTTTTAGGACTAAGAATTAGCAATATCATGCAGAGTGGAAGAGCTTAAAACCTTGTTTCCAGCCAAACTTTCCACACATATCAACTACAAATACTGGAAAATTTAAGGACCTTTTGACAGCAAATAAGATCTACAGACAAAAAGATCATTCATTCTAGTTTTTCAGTTCTTCTCCTTCTTCCACTACCGATTTGAGTCATCAAAAAGAGGGAATTAGGCAGGCAAATACCTAAAGTTTTTTGCTGCAGGAGTCACCAAGGAGAGATATTTAGCCATAACTAAAGGAGAAAAGAAAAGAAAAAAAAAATCCCTACATTTTTTCACTTTCATCCTTTTTATGGTACACAAGGGAATAGCTGGAAAAAATGCATTTCTTACCTGGTTTACTGAGAAGCAAAAATTTTTTTTAAAACCTTTCAGTACTCATTAAGCTCATTAGTCTCATTAAGCTGGCTGATAAACAAGTCAGTCTGAAATATTTTTTCCTAAGAAACATAATACAAACACAACAGTTGTCACTTTGGGCTTTGCCAGGTGATTCTGTAAATGCTGCACGGCCCTTTCCCCACAAAAGGGTCTTCACACGCATCGTTCCCGTCTCTGAACGTCATCCACAGACACATTCATTCCAGTGAAAAATTTATTAAATCCCATTAAAACTTACTGCTGAACTCATAAAAAAATTAAAGAAACTTAGAGAAACTTAAGCTCACTGTCCTGGTTAGAAACTGTTTAACTGAAGTCCATCACATTCAGCTTCTACAGGTTAGAAACACAGAATGATCTGGGCTGGAAGGGACCTTAAAGATCATCTTGTTCCAACTCTCTGTTGATTGATTCCCATCAACAACCCACCTCAGGCACACACAGAATTGCCCGAGTTCCACGCTCTCCGTTACTGCTCAAATTAGATAAATTTCAAAACAGTCACATTACCTGACTGTAGACAGAAGGAAGTGCAAATATCTCCTTCTTTTGAAAGTCATACCTTGGTCAGAAAGGAAATCCAGCATGGTCTGGAGGAGGAAGGACAGATGCCTGACACACAGGGCAGGATTGCCCATCCTTCTGGAAGCGTAGACCAGCTCATGGAGCAAACGCATCTGCACTGCAGCCCACCCTCTGTGAGTGCCTGGCAAGGAAACATGGATTTAATACTTTTTAAAGCCAGAAGTCATCACAAACACATTGATTTCGGTTTTCTTCATATACTAAGCAGTAATTTTATGACACTTAAAACAATTACCCAACAGAATCAGTAACTACAAAATCCAAATCTCATACTAGAAACAAAAATTAGGATCTTTTGAGTTTGCCTGAATAGCTAAACAGGAAATCAATTTTTGCTTTACAGGCTTGTCTATCAACTAATAAATGTACCATTAAAATTCAGAAAATGAAATTAACGTTTCCCATTAAGGAAAAACCAAATGATACATAAAACCTGAGAAGTTCTATATTTTTTTTAAATTCTCTGGGCAAGAAATTCACTTCATACAGACACCTAATTTTTATTGAAATCATAAAATTACAGAATGGTTTGGGTTGGAAGGGACTTTCAAGATCATCTCGTTCCAACAGCCCTGCCATGGGCAGGGACACCTTCCACTAGACCAGGTTGCTCCAAGCCCTGTCCAACCTGGCCTTGAATGATTCCAAGGATGAGGCATCCACAGCTTCTCTGGGCAACTGTTCCAGGGCCTCACCACCCTCCCAGGGAAGAATTTCTTCCTCATATTTAATCTAAACCTACTCTCTGTCAGTTTGAAGCCATTCCCCCTTGTCCTATTACCACATATCCTCGTGGGAAAAAAAACAAGTAATTTTTAATTCTCTTTAAAGATGAAGAAAGAGATATTTCCTCTAAATGTTTTCCTGGCCAATAAAAGTCAGTAAAAAGCAATAAAACTTTAGAACACAATGCACATATCCTGATTTTCAGTCTTTAAAAATTAAGTTTCAAACTATGAATTATTTTCTATTTGCAAATTATCTGTGGTTACAATAAATAGATCATCATAATGTAACTTTTCCTTTAAAACTGTTATATGCAGCACTCCTCATGAAACTTAACCTGCTTTTAGTAGTAAGTAAGAGCAGTAATTTTTAAATAACAAATATTCCAAGATGTGGAATACTTCACAAACTTCTCAACAGCCTTCCTTCTAATTTCACCCTTCAGCATTTGGCAAATTGCTCCAGGAATATTTACTGCAACCAAACCTAGAGAGTTTATATTTTGCACACAAGACTCTCATTATTTTCCATGTGTGAAATGTGCTTTCTATCAAGTAGCTCCTAACGTTTACAGTGATCCTTCCATGTGCCTCTAAAAGAGCCATTCTTGGGGTAAAAATCAGACAGAGCACTTAAACACAACTTAAAGGTGAGGTAAAAATGAAAGATAAACACCAATCTTGTCATTTTTTTTGCCTTTTTTAATCATCATTTCTTACAGAACTTTTACAGCCTCTTCTCCCAACACACTCCCATCCCAGGCCTCAGCACAATTTTCCCAGAACATTCCCTCTTCCTAGACTCTTTTTGTCTTTCCATCTAGTCTACTTGGCATTTTCTACCTTCTCTCACATATCATTTCAGAATGCAAGGTTTTGGGTTACATGGAAAGGTTTACTCAAAAGGAGTTCCCAAGCACCATATTAGCTGTCTCTGATCTAATTTGTGGGAAAATGTGACATATTTGACCCTACACACACAGGTGAAATTATACGTATGTATGTGTGTCTATATACAAAAATATGTAAAAGAATCTTTTTTCTTTCATTATAAGATCAAACAGCAACAAATAGCAAAGGAAATACAATTTCTGATACAAAAGTTGGAGGCACTTTAATTGAAAAAATATTCCAAATTAAAATATGACCCTTTTTTTTTTTGTACTGAGAAGTGCACAATCAAAACAAAGACATTTCTGAAAAACATTAGAAATCAAGTTTTCATAAATAAAACATAATTACTTGCTGAAAACAGAGGAACACAGCACCACATTCAGCAGTGCCCCACGAAATCTGAAATTATTACAGAATCACAGAATATGCTGAGTTGGAAGGGACCCATCAGGACCACTGAGTCCAACTCTTAGCCCTGCACAAGAGTATTGAAAAAACACTAAGAAAAAGTGAAAGTACAGTGTTAAACAACTGCTGCAGTTAGCTTCAGACTAGCAAATAATTTTGGTTTGAAACATCAAAAATCTCTCCAGGAAATCAGTTACAGGAAGCCAGTTGGGTGTCCTACTACGGTGACCCACACTTTCCCAGAAGCACCTACCTTTGCTGAAATCCTGAGGATCCAGTGACAAGCTGTACCCAGGGAGAGTCTCCAGCAGGAGTTTGTAGCAGGCCCTCCAGCCGGGCTCGGGGATGCTGGGGGCTGCACACTGCATGGCCGCGATGCGCTTGAAAAAGGCCGATTTCCGGTGAAAACCGATGCGCTCGTACAGCTCCGAGAGGATGCTGTAACGCTGGATCTTCTCCTCCTCTGAGAGCTGACATTGCGAGGGAAAAGAGAAGAAGACTGGGTTTTAATCTGAATTTTAAAGTGTGCATCTGAGTTTAAGAAAAATAGCAGGAGGAAAGAAAAAAAAAGGTAGGAGACATCTCCAGCACTGCAGAAGGCCGGGGATTTTGCACGTAGCCAGGCATGTGCTTCTACTGGCAGGAAAACTTAAGCCTGGTTCAACAACTAACAAAAACTGCAAAGATGGAGTTCTGCAGCAACTTATTTGTCAGTGGTACTAACAAGTAAACAGTCAAAACAGCCAGTAACAGCTAAACAGCTCCACATTGTATGGAAGATATTCAACAAGATATTCATGTGCATAAAAAGAATGCCAAAATATACCCCTTCCAAAATTTATTGGTTTACTGAGTTAGATTTTCATCTCTTTAGGATTAAATCTAATCTTGAAATCTCAGGCTATGAAAGCATGAAATTACTGTCTCGATTTTTACATCTCTAATCTTGTAAACCACAAAACTTTCATTCCATGACACTGTACTGTGATTTTCACACTGTGAGACTGAATCATAGAATGGTTTGGGTTGGAAAGGACCTTGAAGACCATTTCATTCCAAACCCCTGCCCTGGGAAGGGACACCTCCCACTAGACCAGGTTTTTCAGAGCTCCATCCAAGCTGGCTTTGAACACTTCCAGGGATGGGGCAGCCACAGCTTTTCTGGGCAACCTGTGCCAGCGTCTCATCATTGTCTTGCCCAAAGCAAGTTTCAAAGGATATTAATGAGTCCAATGTGAGCTTTCTCAACAATGTAAAAAACAAAGTAGCAAAACATAGGAAGATACAGACCCAGATTTCTTTGCTGAGTCAAGCAGTGGAAGAGGCTGCCCAGGGAAGCAGGGGAATCACCATCCCTGAAGGGATTGAGATGACGTGTAGATGTGGCATTCAGGGACACGGTGTAGTGCTGGACTCAGCAGTGCTGGGTTAATGGTTGGACCTGATGATCTTAGAGGTCTATTCCAACCTAAAGGATTCTATGATACATGTGCAGACTGGCAACTAGTGAGGTGGAATTTAGTTAAAGCTCCGTTAGGCTTAAGGTTGAAACAAACTTGATAAGGAACAACCACCATGGGCTTCTTTAGCTCATCAATATATTGGCACAACCCCAGGCAACCATTCTTTTCCCCTTTGGTCTGAATGAGAACCTTGCTTTGGAATCAGACAGACAAGAACAAATTGCCACAGAAACTCTGGGTGATACCAAGTACTTCCAACTCTCCATCCCAGTAATCAGCAATGCAGGCCAATGCTGACACCTAGTGCACAGGACCAGGCAGGCACAACCAAAAGCAATAAAATGTATTTTAAATTACTCTAAAGCTGCTAACATGTTTTGCAAAGGCGTTTCAAATGACAAACTTCATCCAAAAATAGCACTAAGGGACAGAAATGGCATTTCTGCAGCTCATTCTTCAAAACTGAAAGTATCAATCAGTGCATGTAACTTAGGAAACTTAAAGCCTTGGAGAGTCAAAGAAAGATGCAAATCACACTAGTGAGCTTTCATAGGAATAATCAGGTCTTAACTGAAGCTTCAAAACATCTTTTAGTCACTTAAATCCTGATATAACTACAAAAACAGTCTGTTTTTAAAAGCCTCTTCTAATTTTGGACAGAGCGATATGAGAGACCTCAAAGAAGAGTTTTCAGAGGGCACCATGAAATCTTCATCCTTCGGGATATGAAGAGATACAAATAGACCAGCAAATCACTATGGAAAGTTCCAGACCATTTTTGAAGCCAAAGTTGTTATTTTCTTCAGAACTGACACAAGACAACATCTGATGCAGAAATATTGCCCATCCCTAAAAAAGACCAAGCCCTGTAGCCAGAGCTGTAAAAAGGCAATTGCACCAAGGTGAGAACTTTCAGGAATCAATGCAGCTGGAAAGAACACAAGGCACAAAAAGAAAATACAGAACAATTTTTAACAAGTTTATCAGAGTTCCCAAAAGCAATCACTGGGAAAGAACAAGGGCTGTCAGATTAAAGTTACCTACTCCAGCAGAAACAAGCTGTTCCACCTTTTTTTTCCTCTCTCTTTTTTCCATTTATGCCATTTTTAAAAAGTTAGAACAATAAAAAAATATGGCAGCAGAGCTGGAAAGGGCACAACACATGAACTAAAGCAAAAAGAGCTTAAAAGAAACCCCTATCAAAAGCTATTCCTCAAATACAAATACTGTCAATGTTCACACACCTATGGAAACTAAATTCTTTAAGATGAGAAAAGACAGGGTCATGCTATTTAGGTAGACAGGATCACTCACTAATCATTGGAACAAGTATCAGAGAAGCCACAAATTCTCAGAAAGTTTTATTTTCATCATATCTGAGTAAGTTTTTAACACTGTTACCTGACTTGTTTGCTTAATGGTTGTCCCCAAAGTTACTCAAGTATTTTCTGCCATTTCAGGAAACTGTTTGTTCACCACCACAAAGACAGCAAAACTGCATTTTTCCCTGAGCACAAACAGTTATTTGTCACTATGCAGGAATTAAAAACAAGAAAAGAAAAAAAAAGGAGAAAACCCCACACAAATACTCCAAGTAATTAATCCTGGGAAGGGTGCAGCAGGCATTCTGCAGGGCAGGAGTGGAGCATTCACAAACATCTTTCTTAACCTTACCAATTTATAAAAGCTTAATGCCTATAAAGTGGCTGCAGAACAGCCACCACCTGAAGCACAGCATCTTTTCCACCTGGTTGATTTTTCTTTAACTGTTACACCCAACCAAGTTACAGCTGCACCTGGAAAGGTTGGAGTTCTCTATCCAAGCAAGGGAGCCAGTTTTTTCACAGCCTTGTTTCAAGCCAGGCTTTCAAGAATGCAGCTTTTTATTTGTTTTTTAATTATTCCTTACTACATTAAAATTTTATAACCACACTTTCTTTGTAATTAGATTTTACAATTTATTCCTCATAACTGTATGCAAAGTTAAGCCTGATTACCCTGCAGCTCATCAGAAAACACCAATTACATAATATTACTAGACTGAGCAGGAGACTGAATTTATGGACAGAAACTAAGTCTTCCTGTTTATGAGTCTTTCACTTTAACCTGTGAGGTGTTTTTGCTGCTGTTGAATATTGGTTGTGCTGATGTTCTATCCACCTGCAAGTGAAAAACACTGTCCTACAGCTTGTTTCCCTCAGGTATCACAGGATGACTCCTCCTCTGAGTTAGACCAAATTATAAATATAACTACTATTTGCTTCCATGCTATACACTGTAAATCTTGAAGAGCTGTAAATATGATTTCCAGTCATACCTGTCTTTATGGAAGATACATTCCCCAGCCCTGGAAAGATTGTTACTCATACTTCACATAATAAAGCCAAGTTGCTCCCCAGCCATGCAGAGGTCCCAGCCTGTACTGGTTTAGGTTGTACTGGGAGAAGGTTTACTGGCAAAATTTGATCAGGGCACGTGTTTCTTGCTGCCAAGCTTTGTCTCTGTGTATTCCTGGCAATACTTATCAGCTACTGAAGTGACTTATATACTTTGCCATTCACTAGGTGTTATTTTTTTTCCTCTAATATAAAGTGGACATTGCAACGTGAGTGTGTCAGGGAGGAGAACAGGGGATTCTCACCATGGCAGTAATTCCTTCCAGAAGAAAAACAACATAACAACAATACTGGAGTTTGCAGGCCATGAGAATAACAGCACCAGAACAAGAAGAGAAAAATACTGCCCTAGCATCTTACAGGAAAGGTGCAGAGCTGCCAGCAAAAGACAGATTACAGAATTAGAGAGAAGGCCCTTGGCACTACAAGGATTACAGCAGTTAAGGTACTCTGTAAGAAAATTGATGATTTGTACGATACCTTATCAATTAATTAATTTCTCATTTATGTTGAGTAAGAAAATTGACTCCAGAGAAAGGATTCTCTGCAAATGAAAGAAAGGTTTCTACCTCCCTCATAAATTTGCTGTCCCTTTCTGGGTTTAATAAGCTCAATAGTGTGGACTTAAACTGCTCATCTTACCAAGATGTAATGAGCAAAAACCAAAAACCAGTTAGAAATCCAACTGCCCTTTATTAGTTCTCAACCACTGCAGTCTCTCTGTAACCAGTGACACCACCTTGAGACACTGACCAAGTGTTAGTCCTGTTGTGTTGTACTACTGAGCACTTTTCCCACAATTCTGGATACTGATTTTCTCCCTGAATTTCTTTCTGATTTGGCTTAATTAAGACTTTGCACTACACAACAAAAATTCAATTGATTAACAGCACTAATCAGACCCTTCAGCTCACTCTGCAACAGGCCACTCCTGATTTGCTCACAGTTTCATTGAATGAGATGCAATCAAGAAAATTAAAAAGATCCCTTGCAGATCAGCCCCAAGAAGGTGTTTTTCCCTGGTACAACATCACAAGACAACAACAACGGGTGTTTTTTTTTCCTTCACAACGGAGAACAACCAATAGAGTCTTTAATCTCAAACTAAGTCCTCATGTTTTCAGATGAACTCTGAATACCTTTTAAGCCAGACTCACAGACGTAAAAATCCTCAGATGTCAAGTCTTAGTGAGAAGGAGGGTGCTGAAACAGAAAATAAACTGCAGTCTCCTGAATCTAAATAACTTTCAGCATATTCTGTAAAACGAGAAGAGAAAAATAACCGGACTTTCCACACCAACCTGACGAAGGTTGATATAAACTGCATTTTGCAGAAATTCAGAGGCTTCCATGCTCCTCTTCTGTATTGCAAGGACTCTCACTGCCTTCACACAAGCTTCCAGTTCAATCACACCAGCATTCTTGTACTTAGAGAGGGAGAAAATTAAAATAATATTGAAGGATTGCACCTGTTAGGTTTTATAAGCATTTCTGCTCAGCACATAAATCAGCTGTCACATCTTCCAAACCCAGCAATTCCTTAATGCTAATGACTACACTGTTAAATTATCAACATATGCCCAAGTGAAAATTAAGGTGTCAACTAAAATGTTATTATGCAAAACAATCGTTTTCAGCCTCTTCACTCACTTCTATTATTTTGAGACACAGCATAGCTTCTGACAGTTCACATGAGGAGAAAAGTTGGGAATATTAGTACCATTTTGGATAAGCTCATATATAGTGGGTGTGGGTAGTGTGCCTGCAAATAAATTCTACTTTCACAGTGCAATAGGTATGTAAGCAAAAATATTTTTATTACTGAATCAATTTTCCCTTTATTTAACATAAAACAGATTCACTGATGACAAGAGAATTACAAACCATTCTCGGTGTTCTAGTTTACAAAACACCTTCTGTAAATGACTGTTTAGTTATTTAGCTTGCTCAAGGAAGGCAGGAGACAACGTGCATTGATCTGTTTGAGCTCAGACAACAAACAGGCAATTTTCTAGACAAACAAGCTGATCTCATCGTTTCCTCAAACAACACTGATACTGGACATGTGAGTCAGCCCATCTCCTGCTGCAGATAAACTCTGTTCAGGGGTTTATCAAGTTTGAAAACTAATAGGGGAAAGAAATCTCCTAACAAAATGCAGGAGTTAATCTACCAAAGCAGTTACAGGTTCCTCTCTTGTGCATTTATATCAGCAGAAGCAAATCATTGGAGATTGAATCCATTTTAGAAGGTGCTACAAAAGTTTCTTCAGTTCAGTGATAACAGAAAAAAATATGCAGAAAGTGCTGCTTCCTCAGCATTAGAGCAAGGTGTTGCTCTGTCTGTAGATCTTGAACAGACAGAAGGTAACTGTGCTTGTCTTGAAGTCATATATCAGTCCCAATACAAAAAAGCTCTTTGGTCATTGCAAGTGAGGCACAGTTATTACTTGCTGAGAACATCATGTATATTATTATAATCAAAATATAAATATCCTGCCCTAAGCCCAACAAAGTCCAATAATTTCATATTTCTAAAGAAATCATACTCTTTCTAGATGAGCAATATACCCTTAAGGTAACATTAACAAGCTGAATGCATCCTTGAGAATTACTGTTTTATTGATGGATTCCAATTTATCTGACACTATACCCAAAACTATCACCTTTCACTGCTCCAGACCATAAATTAACTCACGAGCACAATGATCTTGCTTCATTTGGAGAGTCTCTCTTCGAAACCAACATGGAAATGCCCATTATATTTACCCAGCTTAGTCTAAAGATAATCTGTATATCTTACAAGAGAAATACATGCAATTAAAAATGATTGAAGCATAAGTAACTCCACTGCAATACATGAAACTTATGTTTAATGTTGATGTGGACACTGAGACACGACTGTCACAGTATGAAATCATTCTTTTTCTTTTCCTATATGAATGCAGACATTAAGCTCCCTTACCATCTCAGGCTCTGAGCACTTGCACAAAAACCTAAAAATTGCTCCAGTTGAGCTGGAAACTGTTTTACAAAGTTCCCAGCACGTGCTTTAGAAGATCCTCCCAAACCAAAGCTACAGCAGTTCACTGTTGAAAAGAATTTCAGTGAAGTCTCTTAAAAATAAGCAGGATTACCTTGCCATAGTAAGAAATGGCTTCTTTGTATTTATCTATGATGTCCTCAGGACTCAGGCAGTTCTTGGCACGTCCTATCTCTGCACTGGTATCTGCATTTATACCGTTGGAAGTCAGAGCACCTGGAACAGAACAGGGTAAGGAATGAGCACAAGGACTTCTACAAAGTGCTGAATACCTAAAAACAAATCTAGGATATGCTGTAGGTTTGACAAAGAATACACAGAGTACACCTGACCTACCTAGAAAGCGATGAGGCTCTGGCTACAAACACTAGTTCTGTTGTACTATGGTATTTCAAACAGTACACAAGAAAAATGGACTCAGTCATGAGCCAACAAACAGAAAATAATCTTTCACCATAATTTTTTGCACTTAACTGAATGTTTAGACTATGAATAAAGTAACAGATTGCTAAAATTAGATTATGGTCACATCTGAATATGCAACTTTGATCTCTGAACTATTCCTTGTGTTCTACTTTAAAACTGTATTTCTAAAGCACACCAAAGAGAAAAGGCTCAGACAGAACAGTGAGAAATTGGTTTTCATCTATAAGAAAGAAGGTGAGAGACAGAGTCTTCACATGCATAAGGGATAGGAATGTGAAATAGAAGCCAAGGAAATCTGGGATATTAGAAAGAGCATGAAAATTTTATTTCTAGAATTTGATTTTATTGAAGAGTTAACATAAGTGAGAAAATACATCAAAGGTTTGGCAAGGCTCAATACCTTGTTATGTGTTACTTAATCTGCAGGATTATATGGGAATTTATTTCTCTGGGAGGTTTCTCTACTAAGATGGCAAGAAAATCTCTCGTGTTTCAGAGCTGGCCTTAACTCTCAGCAGACAGTTGAAAACTACTGTTAAAGATACTTTCTGCTCCCTCTATATATTTAGAAATATGTTATTTTACATGCTCAAATGCTAAAGCAAATTTTTTATATGTTTGTTAACCTTACAAATTGCACCAAGCACATCTGTAGATTAACAGGGTTTTCATGGAAGTTAAGTGAAAAATGTTCATGATGACCGAAAGAGCACCATGACACTACATGAGACCAGTCAGGTTTGTCAGTTAAAAAAATCTACAAATCCTCACTACTGATGGGAAAAAACAATGCTCATTGGAATTTACAGGGACACAATCATGGAACTACACCATTTTTTTTGTGCCATTTACCCTTCAATCTCTTTGCTTCCTCCAGATTTATAGCCAAAAAAACTGAAGCAACAAGGATCATTACTAGTTTTGGCAATTGGCAGTAACTATCTACACGAATGCAAAACATATTCACGTAATAAAAGAAAATATTTTGGAAACATGCAGAAAAATAATGTACCTGGATCAATGAGAACTTCTTGTGCCCCTAAAAGGAGGAACAAAAATGATTTTTTTTTCAGCCATAAATATAGCCAACAAAAATAAGTTCTTATAATGTTTTATAACATCAGGCTTGAACAAAATCATAAAATTTATCAAGATCATCACTTATGTTTTGAAGGACTACCAATTATAACTCAAGTAGTCACCATAAATTATTTCTCATTAAAAAATAAATGTAGAAGTCCCATAAACTTGCAATGAATTCTAAGACACCTTAAAAAGAATTTCATAATTTTCAGAATTTAAAGCCATATCTTTTTTCCTTTTTCTTCACTGTTTTAGTTGTCAAGTTTCTATCACAGTCCATTTAGTATATTTTAATACCAGGACCTACTGTACTTAAATCTCCTTGTGAAAGCTCATTTAATCTGCATAATAGTCTAGAATAACATTTTCAAGTAATTGTATCCCTTTTAATTGTCATTCGTTTCCCTCCATCAAATACTCTGAATAACTGAGTCATGCCAACCCAACAAGCCAGATTATTCATGTAAAAGAGCTGCCAAGAGTATTGCAAAGTTGGATTAGTGTACATAACACCTTGTTGCCCCAAACTTTGGTTAAACATGGCAATAAAATTGGTAATGCCAAAGGTTAAGCAGTCAAAAACAATTGTTTTATCAGCAAGACAGGCCCTCCCTTCAGTTGATTTGCTCAGACTCCAGACTAGTGAAGCAGAGATTTAGATTTAGATCCAAAAGATACTCCAACACTTCACTCAGGTGTCCTAATTCTGACTGGGGAAAGGGGAAGGTCAGGTGACAAAATTAAGAGCTCAAGACTTCTAACAAATAAAACCCAGTGGAGAAACCCAAAATAGCCAGTGAGCCCAGCATAAGGCAACCTAAACTCAGCTTGTTCAACACACAAATCAGAACCGACAGCCCATGGCCAGTCCTCCTGGCCAGCAGGAACTGAGCAATTCAAAATCTCTCTTTGCACTGAAGGCTCCAGAGACAACTCAAGGGGGACACAGCCCAGACCTGTCCCATACAAACCAAAGGGTTTAGAGACATGAGCAGTCACACCCCTTTAAAGCATTAAAGTTCCCTTTTCACAGAATCATAGAATGGTTTGGCTTGGAAGGGACCCTAAAGATCATCAAGTTCCAACCTCGCTGCCATGGGCAGGGACACCTTCCACTAGACCAGGTTGCTCCAAGCCCTGTCCAACCTGGCCTTGAACACTTCCAGGGATGAGGCATCCACAGCTTCTCTGGGAAACTTGTTCCAGAGCCTCACCACCCTCATCCTAATGTATTTCTTCCTCATGCCCAATCTAAATATACTCTCTTTGAGTTTAAAACTGTTGCCCCTTTTTCTGTCACTACAGGCCCTGCTAAAAAGTCTCTCTGCCTTTCTCATAAGCCCCTTTCTATATTGAAAGGCCACAACAAGCTCTCCCCAGATCCTCCTTCTCTTCTCCAGGCTGAACAACCCCATTTCTCCAGCCTTTCTCCATGGTAGAGGTGCTCCAGCCCTGTAACCACTCTCATGGCCTCCTCTGGACTCGCTCCAGCAGGTCCTGCCTTTTCAGTCAGCAGGAACTGCAGTCCAAGGGCCCATGGCAATGGCCAAGGAAGAAACCTGTCTTTGGAGCAGGCAAGATTCCACATCCCCTTCCATCAGACAAGCACTTTGAACACCATATTATCAACCAATTCTCTTCTGAATGAACTATTCCCACCAAGACACGTTCAAAAGAAGCTGAAGGACACACAAACAAAAAACTGACAATATTCTGATGGTTACAGACAGGTAAAAATTGCAACAGATGGTTACACCAGCATATATATTGCAATTTTCCTTAGTAGGGAAGAGAAAAAAAAATAAAACAAGAAAACCAAACCCCTTCAACACTGCCCTCTTAACCTTGTGTTTTATCTCATACAAAGAGAGACAATATTACAGCTTCTCTTTCCAAAGATGTTTCTACACAAAGCAGACACCAGAGCATTTTCTGAGCAGCCTGGTCCTGTGCTATAGCCTGAAAATGCCAAGTGATGGAAATAACAGGTCATTCAAGACAAAGATGTTTCTCTTGGCCAGGTCTGGGCACAAAGGCAGTACCAAGAAACCCCATCCTGTGAAGGCTGAACTACAGGAACAAGGAGGGATGCAATTCCAGGCACAGCAGGAAGCAATAAAGGTAACTCTCACACCTGCATGCCTCAGAAACAGGCCACGAATACCAGTTCCAAGTGTGGCATTTCTTGATTTGCACAGAATTTGGAAACCCTTTTTATTTCTGACTTATCCTACAGAAAGATACACTGGAATTTGTTCCCCAGATTAAACACTGTCCTCACAAAATTAATCGTAACAAAATAGATTATAAACAAAGGTGCAGTTTGGAAAGATTTTAAATGAAAGGCAGTGTAGAGTCAAGGAAAGGTAATGAAAAGAAACTTTCAGTAAGCCTTGTAAGAAAAGACATCACAGCAACAGCTGTTTGGGCAGATTTAGCTCAGCAGTTCAGACCTCAAAACACAGAGATCACACATAGAGTTAGGGAACAATATCATGGGCCAGGGGATAAGATTTTATCTGGAAGGGATGACAAAAAAATTGCAATTAGTTGTTCTTCCCACAAAAGTCCTTTAAAAAATCTTATCATGTGAAACTAAAACATTTTCAAAATACAACTACACTGGCAAGTTTGCAAACAGCACTTTTTGAATTTGCAAACTGAGAGAAGCAGCATTAATATACCCAAAATACATACTCTATTCAATTATTCTGATATCTGTGACTTACATGTTACCTTCTTTGGTAAAAAGGAGTATCCATTACAAACAAACAGATTGCAACACCTCCTATTAAATACTCATTGAAAAATTGACAAAGGTCAATTAATGTGTGAAATTATAATTTAACAGTCAACACAGAATGCACTCATAGGTCATGGGACCAAATGAAATGCATTCATAGGTCATGGGACTAAATGCACAGATTTTAATGACTAGATATTATATGAAAAATTAGTATTCTGTCCTGAAATAAAGTAATTTTACTATCACACTTATCTGCTGTTAACAAACACAGTTTGTAATAAAGATAATACAAAGCAAGTGTTTACTAGATTGTGAGTTTTAGGAGAATAAAGATGAGTGGTTACTTCTTTGAGATGAAGGACTTAATGTTGGTCACACTGCACACAAGAGAATTTAACACCAGCACTTAAGCCCAACTGTTTCAGTACTGGGTGAGTGTATACACAGAAGTAGCTGTGCTGGCTTAGTCCAAAGGCCCGTGTAGTTTACAATAATCAATATATTTTAATTTCCCTACCCCAACCAGGCTCTCTTGGAAGCCACAGAAACTTTCAGGAGCCCTTACTCCATGAGAGAAGTGTCAGGTTATGTGGTCATCTGCACAAGCACAAAGGAGCAGAGAGGATCAGTGACCAAGAACCAAATCAGAGTCACAGAGATGTCCAGAGATGAAGCCCATCAAGCTCAGTTACACCAGCACTCTCTGCATCCCCTTCCAGACAGACTGGGGGGGTCACTGCCTACAGGGAAATGGGGCTCGTTATAGGGAAGGAACATCTTGGGACTGTACAAGACTTCTTATGGGGTGTAACCAAAGTTAAGGAAAAGGAGGGAGCGAGGAAGTTTAGGGAACAAACAGGGAAAAACAGAGGGGTTCACTGTATTACAAAGCACTCTCGCATTTCTCATCAGCCACTTCTTTTGCAATTCGAGAGTTCAGGAAAAGCATACTAAATTTTAAAAATTATATTGGTTGTTAACCAAATCTATTTATTAAATGTTGACTTTTGAGTAGCAGAACAAATTCTGAATAAATATACCTAAATTATTCTTAATACATGGAGCTCTGCCACATCATCTTGATGAAAACTATCTGCATCTCCTCCAGCAAAATTCAAGCTAACAAACACTACTAACAGTCAGGTGAAGAAATCAAAAGCTTTGCAACTCTATGCAAAGCACATGTGTTGACACTAACACCAAAAGTGTAGAAAAGCCATTAATGTAAAAATCCTAAAAAGGAATACCATTCTCCCCTCCCACCCCCTCCTCCAGTTTATCCTGTCATTGGTGGGATTTTACAGAGTTAGGGAGCAGGGAGGAAGTTTTCAGGTGTTCAGTGGTGGCAAATGGAATAAAACCAAAATCCCATCCTTACCTGGCCTGTGCCTGTTTCCTGCCTCAGCAGAGAGGGAACCTCCTTGTGCCCTGCGAGATCCGACTTTGCCGCCGGTGCCGCCTGGGTAGTGATAGATGACGGATGCTGAGCACAAACCCTCGAGAGCAGCTGGAGAGAGAAGGGAAAAGCCAACAGATTAGTAGGGACACTTGCAGGAAGTGAAGTATCAGGTAGTAAAATCTATTTACACAAATAAAATATGCTCAAATTGGACACCTAGTGACAAAGGCCATGGAAAAGGCCGAGATACTCGATGTCCTTTTCACCTCCGTGTTCACCCTCAGACCTCCCAGGAGCCCAGTCCTACTAGAAGGATCTGTAGGAGTAAGAACTTGTCACAGCAGAGAAAGACAGGCATTAAAAGCACTTAATCGAATTAGATGTAAATCCACAAAACCAGGTAAGATGCATCCATTGATGCCAACAGAGCTGGCCAAGGTTATCACCTCCAACAGGTCATGCCAACTGGGGGAGGTTTCTAATGGCTGGAAAAAGGGAAATACCGTCTTCTTCGAGAAGGAAGTACCAGCACAGGCAGATCAACATCAACTCCCCTGAAAGGCCACACAGAAATCCTTCTGGAAGCACATGAAGTGAAAGAAGGTGTCTGGGAACAGCACACATTGATTTATCAAGAAAAATAAGTCCTTGGCAACCTCACTGCCTCCTATGATGAGATGATTCACTCAGTGGACAAAGGAAAGCAGTGGATGTTGTATATTTTGCCTTTCAAAAGATCTGTGGACATGGCCTCCCATAGAATTCTTATAGCCAAATTGGTAAGATTTGGATAGCTGGCCTATAAAGTAGGTGGAAAATGGGCTGGACAGCCAGGATCAAAGGACTGTGATGAGTACAAAGGCCAAGTGGCTGCCCGTGATTAGTGGTGTCCCTCAGGGAGACAATATTCATATCTTCATTAACTGCCTGGATGATGGCACAGAGCACCCCCTGAAATTTCCTGGGTGATACCAAACTGGGGGAAACAGTAGGGCAGGTCTTCAGTGCAAAGAGAACTTGCCAGGCTGCAGATCTGGGCTGACAGGAGACTCATCCCAAAGTTCCGTGGAAGTACAGAAGAAAAGAAGTGGAAGGTCAAAAGGTGTTAAGGTTTTCGTAAGATGTAACCTACAGAGCCATTGGGAAGATAAATGGATTTTCAAGTAGAATGAGAAAGCTAAAAGCAGAACAGGAGACAGCAATTGTCCTGAAAAGGTATAAAACTGAGAAGCAGAAATTGTGTTCAAAGATCACTTGTATATCAAATAAATAATAAAAAGTAGGAATGAAAAAAGAAATAAAAGGATGAAGGAAAGGCAGGGGGGAAAAAGTGAATCCTAGGACCTAATGTGAAAGGAAGTTATGCCAGTGGAAACTAAACACTTGTGGCTTTGGTAGATGTAAAGGCAAAAATCTTTTCCTTACAGTCCACAGGAGTGGGTACACCCTGAAAAAAACCCAAATACTTTCAAAAGAATCATTAAAAGTCAGATACACAATTTTTTTTCAAGTACATGCTTTACTACACTAACACATTTTATGTCACAGGTTTCCTCAAACACGTGTCTTTCTCAGGTCTTATTAACCAACTTTTATTTCAATTTAATTCTCAGCCACACCTGATATTCAGATTCTGCTCACCAGAATCATTCCCACTTTTCAATATACTTAAGGAAACTACAGACAATAGTTTGATCTACTTTGGGTTTAGCAACCAGTGACTGATTCACTACCACCACCTAATCCTACCTCCAAGCCACAGGAAGTCATTCACGGAGCGCAGCAGTTCCACTGCCATGTGATAATGGACCAGGGAATCCTGTAACATTCCAGCCTGCAAACACAGGTCACCCACGTGTTTCCGCATCCGGCCTTGGCAGCGCTTCTTATAGTGCCTGCAAAGGAAAGGGACAGCTCAGTCACCTGCAGGAAACACTCACTGGAGGCAAGAAACACCTAAAGTTCATTTTCTTTCCTCCTTAACAGAGATCAACATTTGTTTACTCTGAGCAAACATCCAGTATGAGTTCTAAGCAGCATAATATGGAAAACTACCAAACATTTGAGGCTAAATTGGGAAAAAAGCAAGGTATTGTGCATATTGGCTACCCAGCACTTCTGCAGTTAGAGCCACACACCCCAAAAACCTCCAAAGCAGGTTCTTGTAAACCACAATGAGTATTTGGCTGCCTGATATCCTGCTTTTTTGCTTTTAAGTACACCCAAAAGCTCATTGGTGGTCTTTGTTCTGCCTTTTTGCTTTCCCTCACCAGGGAATGGATTTTCTTGTGCTTCCAGGAAGCTGTTCTTGAATAACTCCCTGGATGCTTCCCATGGAATCCGCCACATTTGGGCTCTGAGGATATTTAGGATGACTCTTCCTTCTGCTCTCCTCTGGTGGGACTGGCTGCCTGGGCCCTCTCCACACACAGCCAGGAGGTGTTGGTGGCCCAGAACCTGCTCAGGGCTCACAAACCTCCCCTGCTCTCAGCACCTTCTCCTAAAGGGATGATTCATGAAACACCACTTCAGCAAGAGTTGACTGGGTTTCTCTTGCTACTTTTTTTTAACATATTAAAATAAATGGTGAAGTTCTCTCCAAATGAACAGCCAAGGCCAATTAAGTCCTACTGAAAATATTAAACAGACACCTTGGTACAACTGGTGTTGTACCAAGCTGGGCAAAGACAAGCTGGGCACAAACCCATGTGATAAAGGTACTAACCTTATTATTCAATCTTTTTTAAGTAACTACCAGCTAAAGAAACTTAACAGATGCAAAGTAAGACACACTGGACTTGGAAAGCACCTCATGATTTAAGTGACAGTTGAGAACAACTCCATCAGCAATTCTCCTGTTCTCCCTCCTGCAAAAAAAAATTCCCTGGTAACAATGTCCTTGCTCTACCTTGTATAACTGTTTTCTTAGGGCAAAATTAAAAATCAGCTTAAATATTTTATTCATCTACCTATATTACTGCAATCCTTTTGTTCTATCAATGTCTAAGTACATGAATAGAGAGCGGCATGAAAGTTCATTGTCCAAATATCACACGAAGGAAAAATAAAATTTTATTTCTTTGGGTGGTTTAAACCAAAATAAAAGCTACCCCAAAATTAAATTTAATTAGAAGAACTGCTGTAGATGTCTTTCTTTTTTTGTATACTTGAAGTATCTCCAAAGAATCTGGTTAAAAAGGGGTTCTAAAAATATAAAAACCACCTTGGATTGACTGTCATAATTCTACACTTTTAGTAAATGGAGTGATACTTTTTCAATTAAGTTCATCAGAATAGTTGTTGAACAGGTTGCCCAGAAAAGCTGTGGCTGCCCCATCCCTGGAAGTGTTCAAGGCCAGGTTGGATGGGACTCTGAGCAGCCTGTTCTAGTGGAAGATGTCCCTGCCCAAGGCAGGGGGGGTGGAATGAGATGATCTTTAAGGTCCCTTCCCACCCAAACCATTTTGTGATCTTTCAGAAGGTTACCCAGCATGTTTGAACTCAACAACTATACACAAAAGAGAAACCCAAAAAACCCCTGGGGTAACATCCACTCTCCAGGTGCTGAATTCTTATACCCTGGAGTGAGACTTCGAATACAAGAGGAAATGTCACGACTATGGAATGATATTAGGTTTGGGGCAATGTTGTTTTTTGGGGTTTTTTTGCAGCAAAGAACTTCCCAGAAGACTTGAAATAATCTGAAATTATCTCCGTAACACATCTGAAGAGAACGTCTTTGTGAAGTCTGTAATGCAGAAATAAAAAAAGCGTAAGGGGAACTGATCATATGAAGTGTAAGGGCAGGAATAAGGATATTAATTTATCTCCTTTAGATTTTAAGGCCACGAGAAATGGCAATAATAAAAACAACTATATGTTATTAGTTTATTTGCTTTCGAAGCTCTTTGGTTTGGGTTGTTCACACCAAAGAGAAGCATCTCTTCAGCCACCAAATAATGTCCTATTCTTTGCAGCTGGTCTGAAAAAAAAATAGTTCTTCAAGGAGATAAAGGAAAAAAGTAACTGATTTACATGGACAGAGTACAGAAATTTGAAAGGGAAGATATACAGGATATACATATATATATATGTCCTTATAAAAACTAAATAGAAAAGCAATCAGAACCAGCGTTATTGTTTGGAAGAAAATCTGGAAATTATAAAAGGAGACAAGAAGTATGACTCCTATTGCTCCTCTCCATCTAAAAAGTTACAGATACCTCCCATATAACTGTTCCCACTTTTCTGATCTATCACATCATATTCACAATTGATGTGAAGATGTCGACATTAAATGAAGCTCAATACCACTCTTGTTCTTTATCTTTCAGATGTGTCAAGAGACTGCAATATTTATCCTTTATTTTTCAACAAGAATGTACTTTACAGAACTTTTTAAGTAAAAAAAGTAAAGAAAACTTAAAGTGAAGACTAAAGTTCCCTGCATGAACTACAGAAGGGCACCAAATCTTACCAGGATTTCAGTCTGAGCTTTGGGTTATAGAGAAATGCCTCCCTCAAAAAGTTACTTTGTAATCTTGAACTAGTATTGTAGAGGAAAGTATAAATTGTTTACAAATAAGGTTTTCCTAATCTCTGCATTCCAGAATAAAAATAAGATTGCAAGTGTTATATATTCTTTTAACTTTTTTTTTACATAGACAGTGGAATTGGAGAATCATTGGTTCCTTACACAGCTATAATTCCTTTTAAAGATGTTGACACTACACTGTTGACTGTCTCTACACTTTCAAGTAATCTCTGTGTTTATGGACACATTAAATTTCTTATTCTCCCAAATCTGTAGCTTATAAGTGTTTTTCCCAGACTTTCCAGATTGCATATGATTAAGTTCATAAACATGAGTCACACAGCAAAGGGAAAGAGATGATGTCTGACTCCTAAATCAGAACCCAATACCGGAATCATTTCGATCCCACTGCTTCACCAACAGCTCTTCCCAACCTCATTCTGCTGCTGATTTATGCAGATGTCAATATATGCTAACTTAGAAGGCTTTTATTCACCTAGACATCAATAAACATTGCTCATACACAACACTGTTCTTTCAGAAACTCTCTTTATTTAGAGGCAAACAGATAATTTATTCCTGGTGATTTACTATTAATTATTCAAAGACTGAATTCACTCCACCTATTTTTAGGCTCTTCAAGGTGGTGCCAAGACAGGATCTACCTCCTACAGTCCCTGCAAGTCTTTTGCCACCCTCCTGGAAAGTATTTTCTCACTAATTATAGAAGAAGTTTCCACCAAACAAATGCATAAACTGTGTCTTAACCAGTCACTCACAATTAAGTATATTAAATTCAACTACTTCCAGTATGTCCAAAAAGACAAATGGCAAAGATTTTATTGAAACCAAACCCTCTCTGCATAGACAGCAAAACTTAATTTACTTCATATTTGGAAAGCCTGTTTTTTTAAAAATTCTAGTATCTACAACATTGGGTCCTTAAAAGCCTGTCCAAGTGACTCATTGTTTCTTCAGTGCATACTGGGGTGCAAATTTAATGGGAAAAAATCAGACGTGCATAAATACATCAGTGTAAAATGATGATTATCCATTTCAATACCTAGCTAGTCTTGCTTCACAGCTTTACCTGAAGAACCTGGTCACAAAGCTAAGAGTGAGAAGCTTACAGTTATCTTCTATTTTTTATTAAAACACTGTTTAAATATTTTGGTTCTCTACTGCTCAATCCTAATCTGTTTGAGGACAGGAAGTCCATGTAAATTAACAGCTACTTCCTCTAGGATAAAATGGCAACCTTTTTCTAGGCCAGTTCCCTGTCGTGCCCTACCAAAGCTCTTTCTATTTATTTTTCCTGCAGAAGTTCATTTTATACATTACATTTCAAAGACCACAAACCCTTTCTTCAGTGTGATGCACTCAGAAATGTCCCCAAGGAAGGCAGTGCCACATAATGCAGGACCACCCATGGGATACTCCATAGTCTCAGCCACCCAAACTCCTCTTCACAAGTTCCTCACCCCATGCAAACATACAGTGGACTACATAACTAGTTTATAATCTTATTCTCTAATTTTAGTTGCGCTAATTTGGTACCAAACACACTCCTTATGTTCAGAATAACAACCACAATCATCACCAAGTGACCACTGCTGCTACTTCAAACTGGAGGACAACAAACCTGCTCCGGGAACCACAAAGCACAACCCGATCCCATCTCCATTTCTGCCTCATTTGCTATATAGGAAATGTGCTTTAATCCTCCATCCCCAGCTCTTTTCTAGGACCCCAGGATAATGCTAAGGAAAATTCAGAGCAACAATACTATATTTCAAGGCAGAATTTATTTACAGCCAGCAACAGGTTTGAAGGAATTTCTGGACCCCCAAAATTTGGCTAAACTTACAAACAAGAAACATGCAAAATGAATTTTCAAAATTATTCTCATGCAAAATGCTTCAACAAAAACTTCCATCAAGGTCTACTAATTCCAATTAGCATGCAGAGCTCCAGGAACCACCAATCATAACATTACCCAGACTTGAAAGACACAGCTACGGCGTTGGATCGACTGCCAGAACTTTTGGATTTGGAAACCAAACACAGGCAGCAAGAGCTTCATGGCTTTGGAGTTTAAAAAAGAAAGCAAATTCCAGAGGCCAGCAGCCACCTAAGCAAACTATGGGTGTCCTACAAAAAAATTCAGCATTGGTACCAAATATAATTGCCAAATGCGCCAAAAGGGGGCAACTGCAGTAGTGAGGCTCCAGCAGCAATTATTTTTGTGTGTACTGAAAAATAAATATAAAAAGCAACACTAAAGTATGCAATGAAGGCGGAGTGAGGAGGCAGGACATGGAAGAAAGCTAACTATTTTCAAATATACACAATCACAGCCTACCTTTTTAGACCCAACAACAAACTCACAGGGCAGTATGAGAGAAGAGGGGAAGGGAAAAAAAAAAAGAAAGGAACAAAACAAAAATTAGAAAGACAGAGAACAGAAGGAAAATTAACAGCCACATACACATACCAAGATCATCAACTTTGATAAATCAGTGAACAAAGCCCATCTATGACACTGAGTAGAGAATCTATAAACAGCCCTATGGGCTCTCCACTCCACAGGACTAAGTGGTGCCTCGTTAAATGGATCCCAGTATTAAAAGAGACAATCTAAGACACAAACTGATGTAACAGCATTAAAATGAGCTTATCCAAGTAGATTTATAATCATACCCCAGGTATGTTTAATTTTTTAGCTGAAAACAGAAATAAAATAGAAAGCTTAAAAATGGTATCTCTGGTATGTTTTCTAGTTTCCAGTTTGTAGGACCTTTGTATCATCATGAGAACATGCATTTCTAGACTTTTCCATCAGTCTCCTGGCCTCTACAAATAACTATCAAGTGCAACTAATTTCAGAAACTTTTCCAATTCTCTCAGCATCCCTGTGATATTTTACCCATATTTTACAGCTGATAAATAGAGAAAAATCAACATATTTGCCAAGACCAACTCTTGGCTGTGCCCTAGGAATTAAACCAAGGTCAGACTCCCTGTCCTACAACTTCTGTTTAAGAGGGCAATCTTTCTTCTGAAGTTTTTAGGACTTAATGCCACTATGTTTCACACATGAAGTTTCCTGCCACCCAAAAAAATTCTTCTACACACATAACACAGCGAGTTTGTGTAAACTGTCATCTCAGTACCAGTTCTGACAATGGGTCTCTTCTGCTCCTTAAACAAGCAACTTGCAAAAGACAGAGATCATCCTCACTTTTTTAAGAATCATTTTATTAGAAATGCAGCATAATAATCCATCCATCTTCCTAATTCATGAACCCTGCATCTTAAAAGAAGCCACTGCTGCTGCAATTATTATGCGACCAAGGTAGTGACCCTCACCACAATTATTATGCAACCCTCACTAATTGGGTGAGAGAGATCAGGTCTGTACACATAGTCCTGATCATCACATAAGTATTAACCTCAATATTTTATGGAGAAAAGTTTCAACACACAAAGTTTGGAAGTTTAATAACTTACATGATCAGAATTACTACGTCCCATGTAACTTCTTAACATATTTTCACCTGATGTACCAACCCAGTTCAACGGCTCCAGGTTACAGCTTCACTCCACATTTATTAAGACCTTTGATACACACTGAAATTTAACTTCACTTTTAGAAATTACAGGAAAAGATTCTACTACTACTTAGGCTTATTTAGCCTAAGTAGATATCCACAACTACAGGAAGAGAGACATATACTCTCCTATCTAAGCACACAGAGTGCTTTCTCTTCCTTCTACTTCATACAGAAATTTGTGCTTTTTAACTAATTGGTTGCACACTGACTGAAAGGTCAGGATACACAATATAAAACAAAATTAAAATGGACAGGTCTATAAATAAGATCAAGGGGGCATCCTTTGCCTTCAACCCTTTAGAATTTTTCACCTATTCTAGAAAAAGCTGTTTCATTTGTCTCAATATCTCAATAATATCTTTTTTTTAATTCATTCCTTTAACTCATTACGCTGACAGACTCAAAACCAACAAAGTGGCAAAAGTTATTCTATAAGATGTTCTCATACCCACTTCCTGCATTCAGACAACCTTTAGCCCTCCCTGAACAGAATTATACATCATATCTTGCAAAAACAGAAACTAGTCTCCATTGAGAAGGTCCTTCCCAGCCCTGTATCTCTCTGGTGTGACTAATGCAGTGCTTTCCCTAACTTAGGGAATATGTCACTGCAGAAGGGAACATGCTACAACAAAATCCTGTTATTGCAACCCAAGGAACAAAATGCAAGCAATAAAAAACTCTCAAGTAGTAAAATAGTATATACCACCAGTTCACATCCAAAGTCCAATGCTTGAAAACCTAAGTTAGTTTAATAAACTGATGTTAGTTCAACTCTGTTCCAGGGACCTGAGTTTCTGCTTTAGAAACACAGAGGCAGAGATGCATCAGGTTACGTGAAGGTGCCTACAAAGGTCCCTGTGCAGAGAAGCTATAAATACATTTTCATTTAGCTTGCCCCTGTTATTAATGTATAAATCCTAAATTTTCAAACAATCAGAAGTACTAACTCCACAGCACAATAAAGCTGAAGAACTTTCTTACTATTGAACTGAACGATTAGAACATTTAACGCCGTTTCTTTGGGCAGTGCAGCAAACATTTCAAGTGTATCCATTGATCCAGAGTTACTGAAAAACTGTTTGCTATTCAAACCTCCCAGCAAGGGTGTGTGCAGAGCTGAACCAGTGATTAACTCTGCATAAACCCATATGTTTACACAACCAGGGCCACACATCTTCCATTATGCAAAGAACTGAAGCATCACACTGCATCTGTCTGAACTCAGTGCAACAGCATAAAATACCTCCTTGGACATGTGTGGATACACACACTGCTGTCACTTGAGCTCCTCACCAGTTCAGAACTTCACAGGAAAAGTTTACCCACAAGTTACAGCACAGCCACCGCTCAGAAATGTCACTTATCTAAGAAACTGATTTCCAAAGCAGATACTTAAAGACACAACTGAACAGGATAATTCATTCTGATTTGGAGATTCTTGGCCAAAAAAAAGTCATTTTCTTAGCTAACTGGAACAGGAAATTTTGATTACATTCGACAAAAATTCATTCAAACTGAGCAATCAAAGCCAAGATTCTAAAAGGGCTTGACTACTCTACAAAACTTTATCACCCACATACAAAAACCAGTAACATAATAATTTATACTGATAATAAAAACTGAATGGTGCATGGACAAACCAAGGGATAACACTGGGTAGCAGGTCAGACCCAGCTCAACTTCTCACCAAGAGGAGCAGGAGCAGGGCACAGAGGTACTTCAGGCAACCAGAGATAATATAACAGAGGGCTTCAAACTAATTAGAAACTTGAAATGCTTTCTTCCAGTTTCCAAGGCCAGGACTAACTATGTAGGCAGACCTGATTAACGTGATCCAAAGCCTTCACAAACCTGCCTGGACAGCTCTGGAAAACCCTGCTTTCTACACACAGTAACAACAACTGCTGGCATCCCTCATAGTACAAGACAGAGATGACCAATACTATTCCCATGCACACTTTGTATTTTGATAGGGATTCCACACCTCTGTCCTTGCCAGGACAAATGTGGTTGCTTCCATCCTTTGGATTTGACTGCAAACAGCCAAATCAAACAAATTTTGCACTGCCTGTAGCTGGCTAACCAGAATTACCAATCCCTTGCACAAGAACATCATAACACTAAAATCTGAGAATGCAAATGAGGAGGAAGGAAAGATGTTGGGGGGAGGGGGAACAAAATAAAACTGTTAACATACACAAAACCAAAGAGAAAGTTGTAGCAAACAGGTAGCAAAACAAGACAGGTCAAGAATAACAAATAAATAAAAAAATAAATAAAAAAGGAAGACAGGGAAAAATGCTGGATTTAGTCACCGCAATAAACAGCCACTGTTTCATAGGATGAAAAAGTAGACAGAGGCTTAGGGGAAAAAATACAATAAGTAGGATTAGTAAAATACTACCCAACATAATAAAAAATTATTTTCATCAATGTTGAGTTCTTTAATTAATACTGTATATCTATTAACTATTGCTTTCTACCAAAAAGTCTCATTAGAGCAGAATCTGTCAACCTGTTCCTGTGACTTCTTCCTACTACTTGATTAGCCTCATGAATTAAATATATATATAAAACAAGTTCAGAACATCAAATATGGTGAGAACACAAATTAAGTTCTCTTAAACTACAGCAGACAGACACAGTAAGATCTGGGCACAACCTCTGTTGTAACAAGGTACACTCTGTCCTTTCTAAGAGGCTTATCCTGAAGGCTGGCAAGTGCCACAGGCGTTTTTTTTCCAAGACCTGCAAGCTGACAAAAGTAGCTGCTTACCTACTATCGGTGTCCAGACCTACAAAATCCTTCTTCTCAAAAGGAACACAGAGGAGTGGGATCTTGTCTCCAGACTTATCAGTGGCCCTGTCAAGCCGCTTCGACTCCAACACTATGAAGAGGGACTCGATAAAATCTTCAATTCTCTTCTCCACAGTCTCACATTCATCATAACTGGGATAAAACGCCACATCCGTGCGGGGCTGCTCCGTGATCTCTCCTTGAAGCCCAAAGACAAAGAGCCGGGAATCATAGAGGGTAGAACCATACATTTCCTTATGAAGATGGAATTTTTCGAAAGTCTGAGGCCATTCCTTTGCAGAGGAGCAGTCTGTAATAGTGATCAGCCCCACGACTTTGCGGTGTGTCTGGAAATCCCCCCACTCGTTGTTCTCCGGGGGATAGTGGTGCCTGTAGCGGATGTACAGCACGCGCTGCGAGTCGCGCACGTTGACTTGGCTCACAGCTGAAATCCGCTTGTAGATCCTGAAAAAGCTCTCCTCGGGGACAATGCCAATGGGCTGAACCACGACCAGGAGGGTCTGATGATCCTCAGCACACTGCATGTAGTCAGGAACACTCATTTTGCAACAACTGCAGGCCAGTAAAAGAAAAACGTATATTATTTTTTAACATTCAGAGTACATGAATGTTCGCTGAAGTGAATCAGGACTTTGATGCTAAACATTTCTGCATCCTGAATATACGTGCTACAACACTAATATTTGCGTCATCATTTTACTAAATCTTCAACCATGCAGCCAACACAAATCTGTAAATTACGTTTTTCTGACTCAATCTTGCTCCCTGTGCAGCTACACGAGACAGCTCATACATGGGCCAGCAGAGTCTCCACCACAACCAGAGAGTAGAAGCACCATCTCAGAAGATCCTGTCAGACTCAGGCTCTCCAGTCCCATTTCCTTGGGGAAATACGGAAAATTGTGTGGGGTGAGATGTAAACAGACACCGAACAGGAATGACCCAACTTTACAAGGCTATCAGTGCTTGCACACGGCCAGGGAGAGGAAAATCAGGATCAGAACACTTATTTTTGAGAAAAAGTGAAGTCTGCTTTCTCAAAACACATGTAGGGAAGGACCAGGCAATGTTTTCTACTTCTATATTTAAGTATTTAGAATTCCTTCTCCCCTGAGCTCTCTGACTACTGCACTGCAGCTGGGTTTTAAACGAAGACATGCATTGCTGAGCCCTCACATCTCTGAGACCTCCTGGACCGCACAGATCCCTTGGTCAACTTCACCTCCAAAGCATCCTCTAAAACGTACATAGGACCGAAAAACACAGATAAATCAACGAAACCTCCACAAAAATAAACAAACAGAGAAACAAACAAACAAAAAAACAACAACACAGCCCGGCTTTGGACTGTCACTATCCCTCTCCCACCGTAGTGCCCGGGGTCTGCCCAGCAGCCTCCTTCCCAGGGGAGCAAACCTGTTACCAGGGAACAGCCCCGTCCACACGGTTCCCAACCGGGCGGACACTGAAGGAAGGTGGGAGCTTCCCCCTTTCCCTCTCCCCGGGTCAGATCCCGCGCTGGGCCGGTGAAGTTCAGCAGGGAAAATAAATGAACCGCAGAAGAGCCAAGCGCAGCCCCGCCGGGAAGGGGCTGAGGGGCAGCGAGAGGAGCAAAGGAGCTGCTCTGGGACGGGGGGACGCGGCTGTCGGTGCTGACCGGGAAGGGGCACTCACAGCCGGGGCAGGGGCACTCACAGCCGGGGCAGGGGCACTCACAGCCGGGAAGGGGCACTCACAGCCGTGGAAGGGGCACTCACAGCCGGGAAGGGGCACTCACAGCCGGGAAGGGGATCTCACAGCCGGGAAGGGGCTCTCACAGCGGGAAGGGGCACTCACAGCCGGGGAAGGGGCACTCACAGCCGGGGAAGGGGCTCTCACAGCCGGGGAAGGGGCACTCACAGCCGGGGCAGGGGCACTCACAGCCGGGGGGGCACTCACAGCTGGGAAGGGGATCTCAGAGCCGGGGCAGGGGCTCTCACAGCCGGGGCAGGGGCTCTCACAGCCGGGGCAGGGGAACTCACAGCGGGAAGGGGCACTCACAGCCGGGAAGGGCACTCACAGCTGGGAAGGGGATCTCACAGCCGGAACAGGGGCTCTCACAGCCGAAAAGGGGCACTCACAGCCGGGGCAGGGGCTCTCACAGCCGGGAAGGGGCACTCACAGCTGGGAAGGGGATCTCACAGCCGGGACAGGGGCTCTCACAGCCGGGACAGAGGCTCTCACAGCCGAAAAGAGGCACTCACAGCCGGGGCAGGAGCCGCCCCACTCCCGCTGCCGCCGGAACTGACGGCAATGGCCGCTCCTGCCCCGCATGCGCGGGGCGATGGCGGGAGAGCCGTGAGGGGAGAGCGGAGCTCGCCCGCTGCTGCCGCCGTCCGCGGTTCATCTCCCGGCGCTTCCACGGGGAATCCGCCTGTGCCTGCGAGCATCAGGCGTTCCTCCAAGAGGAATGCGTTAAAAGGAGTGAACGAGTGATTGATTCACCCGGATGGTGAATCTCAGCCGGTTATGAAAACTTCATGGACTTTGGCAGTAGTGGCCGAAAGTGAGCCTTCCTGGCATTCCCAAGTCCCGAAATTGGTCTGGTGTCATAGAATCGTAAAGTCATCAAGGTTGGGAGAGACCTTTAAGATCATCTGTCAACCCAGCACTGCCACTGTAACCCCTAAACCACTAAACCATCACACAGCACCAGATCCAGACACCTTTTAAACATGGCCAGGAATGGTGACTCCGCCACCTCCCTGGGCAACCTATTCCAATGCCTGACCACACTAACAGTGAAAAAAAAAAAAATTCTATTACCTAATCCCAATCTCTCTTGTTTTACCTTAAGGTTATTTCCTTTTATCCTGTCACGGCAGAAGGCACCGGCCCCCACCTCACTATAACCTCCTTTCAGGTAGTTGTAGAGAATGAGATCCCCCCTGAGCCTCCCCGAGAACAGAAAGGGTCCTCCTCTGAGAGGACTTCTCAGAGTCATGTAGCTTAAGGGGGAAAATCCTGAGGACTCTGGAAGTATGAGCCTCGTGTGAGAGCTCAGGTGCATTTCTAGTGGACAGCCAAGTCCACCACCAAACCATGTCCCCAAGTGCCACATCTATATGTCTTTTAAATATCTCCAGGGATGGTGACTCCACCACTGTCCTGGGCAGCCTGTTCCAATACTTGGCCAACCTTTGGTGAAGAAATTTTTCATAATACCCAATCTAAACTTCTCCTGTGACCACCTGAGGCCATTTCCTCTTGTCTTATTGCTTGTTACTTGGGGGAAGAGACCGACTTCCACCTGGCCACAACCTTCTTTCAGGTCTCCTCAGCTACTGTGGCATGAGCTGCGAGCTCCTGGCAGGTCTCTCCACTCCCCTCAAGTTACCCCATTTTGGGAGACCAGGGAAAAATCAACAGCAAGAAGGAGCTGAACAAGCATTAGCCTTGACCTTCAGCTGGCTTCCAAGAAATGAGTAACACTTCCCAGAGGAAGAGGAGAAGGGAAGGGGATGGCAGCACAAGCTGGACTTGGAGGACCTGGAGGCTCAGGTGGAGGCTGACCAAGCCCACCAGCAGCACGGTCAGAGAGGGATTGGGGTGTGTTCAGCCTGGCCACCCACAGCCTCCCTTCTCCTGCCAGGAGCATTTGCTGCTTGGGAGGACATCAGAGGCAGAAAGGAGCCAAAATCTCCCTGAGCAAGAGAAAAGAGAAGCCCCTGGCAGGACACAGGAGCTCAGTCCGGTCAAGAGACAAGTACACCCAGCAGGAGCCAGAATCAGGCAGCAGGATCAGTGCAGGCTGTGCCCAGGTAACTACACCTGGCAAGCTCTCAGCTGGCAGCATGGCAAAGAGGAGCCACTACTAAGGGGCCCATGCAAAGTACCCAAAACTCCCTGAAAACTGAGCAGAGCCCCACAGAGCTGTGCCTGCAGGTTCATCCGCACAGCTGGAATGCTGGAGCAAAGCTGAGGTGGTCAGTGAGCACCCACGAACCAGCTGAGGAGGCGAAACCAGGTTTAAAAATTCTGTCTGGAATGAAAATCAATGAAGGCAACGACAGGCAGGCGGCAGGTTGGTGCTCCTGGTTCATTTCTGCAGCCAGGGAAAGTTCATTAACAGCCCCCGTGTGTCTG